AAATATATAAAATATTTAAAACATGCAACACATGATAACTTAATGAATCTATTTAGATTTTGCCGTATCTAATAGAGCCGATAACTATCTTGCCTTCACTAAGCATATTGAGCAAACGCCTGCCGCACGGTATCTACTCATAAACAAAGCATAAGCAAAGACTTCTTGCTTGTCAAACAAAGATCCGCCGCACGATCATTGAAAACAAACAAGACTACTTGCATCACGTCTAAATCCACCGCATGATACTAAACATGATAACAAGGTTGTCGGAACTTACGGAGGTCGACGGATCGATGACTCCTCTCGAAGAACTCGACGACATGACAAAAGGACTCGAAAGTTGGCACGGGGCCGGTTGTATTGATTTGGTTGTGAACCCCCTTTACAATGGTCGAGGGTCAATATTTATACCCTAGACAAAACACGAGTCCTAAAAGACTACGATTTACAAAGGAACTCTTAAACAAACTTGGAAACTACGATTCCTTGCCCTAAACTCTCAGAGTCCTTTATTATTACAACTTTCATCTTTTCGATTGGCTTTGCCTGCCATCTTCTGCTTTCCCAAATGGAGTCACCACCTTCTGAAGTAACCAACCGCACAAGTATTTAGCCGACCGCTCGTTTTGTTTGCCGAATGTCCTTCTTCCTCTATGCGGGTCCACCTGTCATCTTCCGAAGTCGACCAAAATCCAGTGTTAACACTGTCGTGTGGAAAGAATTCAAGCCATGCCCAAACATGTTCCCCCACACAAATGGGAAGATATTGGATGATGAAATAGTCATCATCCACTCCTCCGGCTCGACAGGCAAGCCGGAAGTCTTCGAGCCAAATGCATGGGTTTGTCTCCCCAGTGTATTTGGTGATGTTGGAGGGAGGTCAGAAACGCTGTGGGAACGGTGCTCTCTGGATGCGTCGACTGAAGGCCCATGGCCTCGGGCCCTCAGGGCTGGGGCTCCGGTCGTCCGACCGGTGACCGCGCCTGGGGCGCGTTTTACCGCTTCCTTCGATGGTTTGGCTGGGATCCATGTCGCCTGCTGCCGTACGGCGAACGTCGTTGTCGTGTGGGGCCCGATGCCGGTCGCTGATGATGCTACGAGCGTCCTGGTGCAGATCGGGCCGCTCGCGTACCGGCGATCGATGTGGAGCAAGCGCCCGGTCGGACCGTGGCGCGGCTGCCGCACCCCGAGCCGAGCCTGACGGCTGCGGTGGTGAGCGAACGGAGCGATCCGGTTGGCGCGTCCCCGTCCCCCCGGTGGGGAGAGAGGGCGCGGGTTAGAGTCACGATGCGGAGCTTTCCGCCTGCTGGACGGCGGCGACCTCTACTTGAACCCGGAGGTTCCGGTAGACTGCCGTTCCTGAGGGTCGATGGGCTCGGGAACACCACGCAGAAGCATTGCAGCAACAGTGATATTCTGGCCGGCTCGGGCGAATTATGGGACGTCGTTCCCCTCGTTCACGATGTCGTGCTGGACCTGACGAGCGTGACCCCGGGCGCCACCCACCGGGCCATGCGCATGGGGCGCAACGTGCCACACTGACCGTGTCAGCGCAGGCAACGGCTGGTTCTGCTGTCATTGTCGTAATTCCTCGGCGTGTGCTTGTGTAGACGCGAGGGCCTCCACATGCGTGTCCGGAGGGGTGTGAGTTTGCGCGGACTCCGCAATCACCGGCGGTTGTCCCGGACCGTATTCCATAGCGCACTCCCAGGACGGATGGTGGTGGGGCGCCACATCACCGATGCTGGAACTGTTGCTCTCGCCCTCGTTATCCGGGAGTTCGTGGGAAATGACAGGAGCGAAGCCTGCCATTCCTACGAATTCGGACGTGAGTGGGGATGGTGCCAGCGCCCTTCGGAGCCCCTGAGCGTAAGCATCCGCGGAGGATGCGAGGCCGTAAGGGATCCGACCGTACGGTGTTTGTGGTGTAGGCGGTGCAGTCCCTCCGGGTGATCAGTGGGAGATAGTAAATAAAGGGCAAATAAAAGTACGCGTATTACTTACAGTGGGGTTTGAGCAGAGAGTTTGCTTGGAAAGAAGCGTAGATGCCGCGCCGTTGAGGTCACGCGTCCCGGAGTCGATGGAGGACGTCTCTCCGACGGGTGCCGGGTCGCGAGTCTCCTCGCGGAGGTGGAGTACGCCGAGCCGGTCGGCGACGAAGTCCAGGCTTCCAAAGAGGAAGGCCTGGGATGGCTCGAAAACGAGTGAAACCCGCCTCCCTGGTGGCGAGAGTGCGGGATACTCCAGCGAGCCAGAGCGAATCGTATCGCCCGAGCCCGCTGTGGCCGGGGTGGCGGAAAAATGGGTCATCCAATGACCAAAAAGTATTGAACGCACAACGTCTTCCCCACGGACGGCGCCAACTATCGGTACAGAAAGTGACCAACTAGTGAATATTTGTAGTTTTGCTGTACGTTGTGATCGGAGGTGGCCTTGCACTCAATGACACAGGATTTATACTGGTTCAGACAATGTGCCCTACGTCCAGTCTGGGTCGGTCTGTGACTTTATTCCTGAGCCTAGGTGCTCGAAGTCTATAGTGGGGTTACAAACGAGAAGGAGAAAGGAGGGGTGTACGAGAGGCCCGGTCGGGTCCGACCGGAAGGGCCGAGGGCGACCGGAACTCTGCTATGAGTTAAGAGTCTAAGCGTGTGCTTGAGGGGTCGTGAGCTATCGATCTAGTGAATCTGAACTTGAAGAAGTCGACCTCCTCTGTTGGAGGGAGCGCATCCCCTTTTATAGATGAAGGGGATGGCTTTACAGGTGAGAGAGAGAGTACGGATGTTACTAAGTCTTGTTGCCCATGCCGATGAGGACAGTGATGATGGTAGACGCCCACAATACTGTTGATGTCACTGTAGAATGTCAGGTGTACAGGGGAGTTTGCGTTGTCTTCTTCAGGAAGGGTAGATGTCGGTACCTGCAAAATACTATCGGTATATGAGGAGCCCTACCACGTGTACCAGGTATGGTGAATTCTGGCGCCCACTATCGATGCCCAGAGACACATGGGGGGCCTTTTTGCTGTACAGGAGTCCAACGGTGCCTACAATACTGCAGACACAAAGGTCGGCGCCTACAATACTATTTGTGTCAGGGCGGTTGTGGAGCACTGTTCCCACAGGCGTACAGAGTATGGTTCTGGTATCGTGGATTGACTTTGTGCGCTGCCTTCTCCGTTCGCCCCTGGTCCCTTCCGAGCGGGCGTCCCCGGTCGGATGGCTCCAGTCAGCCCTGGCCGCGCCAGTCGGAGAAGAGCGGTACACAGGCTTCCTATGGGTCCCCGGTCGGAGTCGCGGGGTCGAAGTAGGAAGCAGCGTTTTGGGCCAGGCCTTCCGATCGGAGAGACCGCCTGGAGGCGGCTTGTGTCCGAAGCGAGTGCTCTGGCCGGAGAGGTGGGCCGAAGAAGTTGAAGAGCGGGCGCTTGTTCTTTTGGGTTGACCTTCCGGTCGGCGACCGGACTATCCTCCTGGCCCGTTGTTTTTTAGACTCTTGGGCCGGCCCATGGACTACATGCTGTTTTCCTGGGCTGAGCCCTGGCATGGAAGCCGGTCCCCGAGGGACCCCGAATTTATGAACCCGACATTATCTGAAAAATAAATATGCATTTAATAATACAAAATCTAATTTAATGCTAGAAAATTCATAGAAAAACTATTTTGACTCCCTCTGGGGCCCCTCCATTAGGAGGCCTATTTTTTATGGGATAATAATTAAAGTGGGGATCCCCCTAAGGAAAACATCCCAGGAACATGGAATTTGTCAATTGGTTAATTACATGTTGATACCCAATCTATGTACACACGGCCCATTTAAATTAGTTTTGTCTGAAGAATGGAACCGGCATATTTTTTCTCGATGGTACCATGACACATACACAATCAAACCGACATAACTATCACCCTAAAGAACAAGCAAGCTCAACTAACCAGACATGGGGTTTGATTGCTAACAAAATGATCACACAACCCTTGCATTGCATAGACACTCCCCACCCAAATCAACACACAACCCTGTCCCACTGCTGATTGCTGAACCTCCCTCTCTTTCACCTTCAACTTCTATGTCCAATTGATGACCTCCCTCTCTTCCGCCTTCAACTTCTATGTCCAATTGATGACTAGCCTCCTTTTGTTGTCTCATGGGGCAATTTCTTTGCAAAGACTTTGTTTTTCTCGAATACGCAAAAGATTGCAAAGACAATTGTTGTACATTAGACCTTTTCTTTAGGAAATGTATATTTTTTTACTTCTCTGCATGAAGCCAAGATGTTAACAAATTGATTGTTGATTAATCTCTCAACTCACAAATATAAGTTGTGTTTGGTATTGACACAGCAGACAAGTGAAAGTTTTGACTAGCTAATTACTTCTATAAAATATGAGATCGATACTAAAAAAAGAATTACATATTTCTTCGTAGCCAGCCTACTAATAACAACACTGACTTGGGTCGACAATCTGACTGTCCTTTTTGCTGATTTCCTCATATTTACTACCATGAGACAGTGGAATATTGCTTAGCTCTCTTCAACAAACATATTGTCCAGAGTAAAATGGGAAATTGAAGGACCACGAGCCGTTTTATTTTTCCAGAGAGTTCCTGCAGTTGGTTTGGCAGCGTAACATCAGCTTACCTGAATTTAAATCGAACATACCACAACTAATAAGAATTGTTAAGTGGAGAGGAATCTGACTAGGTCAATAAGGGCAGCTAGCTTAGCACTGTCAGTGGCATGAAAAAAGAGCAGTACGTACTGGGTCAAACAAACTGATGAAGGCAAGATCAGGACAAGCAAAATGTGCTGGGCAGGCTGCAATCCCCATGTATATATATTTGATTTGATTTGGGTTTGTCTCTACATCGTACACACACTATCATTCTTGGCAAATAGAGGGAGGAGCGATCGAGGAGCCAAGGCCCAAGAGCTAGTTTTCCTTTGCTCGATTCGATCGCCTTCGCTTGTTGTTGCAGCTGGGTTGCCGGTCCGTCCACCGATGCCTCGCGCCTTCTCCTCCCCATCGCGCTCGCCGCCACGCCAACGCCATGCCCTCCCTCCTCCGCCCCGCCACCGTCGCACGCTCTCCTCCACGCTTGTCGAGGAGAGCGTTGCTGCCGCCGCCGCGCTCGTCAAAACGTGGCATCCCGACGTATCATGCTCCCTCTTCCTCCACGACGCCACCGGTCAAGCGGAGGAGGCCCAGGGCTTCCTGCGCGCCGCCGCCGAACTCCACCGAGCCATGCTCTTCTTCGCCGCCGACACCACCAACCCCAGCTCCCAGAGCGGCCACGGCCTCGTCCAGGCGCAGGAGCTGCTCCAGACCGCTATGCGCCGGCTCCAACTCGAGCTCCAGTTCCTGCTCGACAAGCACGACGAAAGCCAACAACAAGCGGCCGCCGCATCCGCTGCCGGTGCCAGCAGTATACGCGCGGTGGCTAAGGCCATGATGGCCGCCGGCTACGGCAAGGAGTGCATTTCCACCTTCAAGTCCCACCGTCGCACGGCTCTGGCCACCAAGCTGCAGCGTCTCCTCGGCTTCTCACCTCCAACTGCTAGTGGTAGCAGCAGAAACTCGTCGTCGTCGTCGTCGCTCTTCCACAAGCTCACCTGGGAGCAGATCGACGGCAACATCATACCGTCGTGGATCGCCACCGCCACCGTCGCCTTCAATTCCCTCTTCACCGGGGAGAAAGACCTCTGCGACACGGTCTTTGCCCGCGACGCGGCTGTTCGTGAGGCTGTGTTCGCGGCCATCTCCAACGACCAGGCCATGAGCCTCCTCGGCATCGCAGAGGCCGCGGTTGCAAGAGCAAGGCGCGCCCCGGAGCGCCTGTTCCGGGTGCTCGACGTCCATGACGCGCTCACCGATGTGCTGCCGGCGCTCTTGTCCGTTTTTGGGGACAACTCCGAGGTCGCCACTAGGGCCGCCGTCGTGGTCACCAAGGTCGGCGAGGCTGCGCGCGGGACCCTGAGCAGCTTCGAGGCGGCAATCCAGAAGGAGCCGTCCAAGGCCACCACGGCCGGCGGCGCGGTGCACCCGCTGACCCGCTACGTGATGAACTACCTCGTCTTCCTCGCCGACTACCAGGAGGGCCTTGCTCTTATCTACGAGCAAGCTGATGCAGAAGGCGCAGACTACACCTCGTCAGTTTCTGGCAACGTTTCGCCGGAACATTATGCGCTGTCAACGACATCGTCTCCGTCGTCGAGCATGTCGTCGTCGTCGTTTCACAGTTACAGCCCGATCCACCGGCTGGTGTCGGTTCTGCTGGGCAAGCTGGACGCCAAGGCCGGGTGCTACCGGGAGGTGGCGCTGAGCTACCTCTTCCTGGCGAACAACACCAAGTACGTGGCCAACAAGGTGGCCGGCAGCGGCAGGCTGCAGGGGGTCCTCGGGGAGGAGTGGGCAGAGGCGCAGGGCGCCAAGGCGCGGGCGCACGTGGATGTGTTCGTGCGCGCGGCGTGGGGCAAGGTGATGGCCGCCATCTCCTCCGTGCCGCAGGAGCCTGAGGTTGTGGAGGCGGCGGTGTTGGAAGCGGTGGGCATGCAGGATCAGTGGGTGGCGGCGGACGAGGAGATGGGCGGGGCGTTGAGGGCGGCGGCGACAGCGGCGGCGGTGCCCAAGTACAGGATGTTCTACCGGCGGTATGGCGCTGCAGTGCGGCTGACGCCGGGCGACGTGGTCACCATGATCGCCGCACTCTTTGGCGGGACTATAAGCACTCCATGGCATCAGAGCCGCTGCAGCACCATCTCAAGGATCCAAATTCAAACACAAACCCAAGGAGACCGCAGCAGCTGTTCGCCTGACAGAGAAATCATCAGCATGTACAATTGTACATAGCTCAATAGATCTAGAGAATTCCTTGTATCAATACAAATGTCGTTCCTTTTCATTTTCCCCAATCACATGTTGTTAACTTTGAGCAGCATTTGAAGGATTGGCAATAACATTCAAGCTGATTAAGTGTTTCATTTGATCACATTGGACTACTTCTGCTACAGTACTAGGTATCACCTGTAACATGAAAAGTTTTCTTCTGGTTAAGCAGAAGAGTTGTCCTTCAGAGATGATGGAGCTCAATGGTAATAATACAAAAAAAAAAAAGTTTTCATTTGGTTAAGCAGAAGAGCTGTCCTCCAGAGATGATGGAGCGCAATGGTAATAATACCAAAAAAAAAAAAATAGTGAATGGTCACTGGCTCCAACTTTGCTTTACTTTGTTTGAAAGGACATAGTGGATATATGACGTGTAATGGATGATGAAATGAAAGACTCGGTGCCTGGAAACTGGAGGAGGGGAAGCAGGCCGGCCGGCCGGCCGGCTAGCTTTGGACCAGGTTCTGCTTTGCTGTCGCTGGATCGCATTCGTCGTCATAGATTGCTCAGACACACAGACCAGACAGCAGACAGCAATGCATGTCAGCTGGATCATACATTATGCTACAAAGGATGACGCGCAACAATATACAAAACCAGCTTTCAGCGACCAACGCTACCATCGTCCGTGTCCTGCCCTCTTCGCACACCTCTACTAATAACCTAGTAACAATATACTAATCCGGGATTAGTATATCAGGTAGTACTCGGGCTGGGAGGCGTCGGGTACTCGGGCGTGTCTATCAGGTAGTAAGCTTTTTTTCTTTTTTTCTTACATAAAAATTTATATTCTGGTTCACTTACACCTGGACCCCAGGGTATGCCATGGCCCACCCAGCATACCCTGTGGGTCCGTCCATGCTAATCCCAGTCCCATCGTGCAATGCAAACACAAGTTGCTTTGTATACACCACATCCACATCGTCACCACTAACCAAGACAAAAATTTTGCAGTACTCTTCCACTTGTTCATTGTTGAAAACAATAGCCTTGGAACCTCATACTATTGTTTTATCTTGTTTATCGTTTTCATCGTTCAACTAGGAAGCTAATAAACTTGACAGCTCCGCGCGCATCCGTCAGCACCGAGGGAGCAACTTTCACCTGCTGTACTACAAAGCCGGCCTCCTGGCATGCCTTGCGGAGAAGCTCCACCTGCGAATCCCCATCTGGGCACAGCGCAACCACTGCACCTCCGCTGCCAGTGAACTTGGATGCCGCCTCCACCATCTTTATGTTCACCGAACCAAGTACATCATCCCCAAACATTTCCCTACAATCACATAACCAATAACCACATATGACTCTGTCTTACCTTGCCATTCCATGCATGTGTTCAGGCAGGCACATTAATCTTACCTTCGCAGATCAAAATTTTTATTCATAAGTCTCGCTAGCTCAGTATAATCCTTCTGCAGCAAAGCCTTGTGGCCATCGAATGCTGGCTGCGCTACTTCCTTCATACTTGATATTATAAACTCATCACCATCAAGCCATCTTTGTCTAACACTGCTATGGACCTACGTTAAAAAAACATTGATGGCTGTCAACTAGCAGGACTCAAACATCTCAATATTATTTTGTGGCATGTGACAAGATTAAAGAATGAATTGCAGTTTATTTATAGATTTAATTCAGTAAGAACCTTGCCAGAGTCACTGGGGTTCTCTGCATAGATGAGGTATAGAGGAGGGAGAAGATTCACATCCAATGGCATGTATATGCCATGACCCAGCTTGTCCATATGCTCCTGGCTAAAATCCTGAGTAATACACAAACTGAAACATTAACAAACAGAGTTCAAACTATCTAGCAGTACTTATGCAACAACTAATACATGCTTGTATTAGTTCACACTAGCTAGAAGTATGTTTGCAAGACCTATACTGTCAATAATGAATGCTTGTATCACGTACCATATAAACCAGTCCCCCCCATAAACCTGTGCCACTCGGTCCTGGAGTCCAGCAACAATTCCAACCTCTTTCTCAGCATTGAGAATTAGATTAGGTCTCATTTCAACTTTTATTAGATGACTGACATCATAGAAGTTAAGAAGGCAGCTTAGAGCAGCACAAACAATCGTGCTCGAACCCGACAGCCCAGCCTACAGAACAAAAGAATCAAGACAATATGCATTTAATCTCCAACTCATCAGCATATCAAGAAAATGCTTTTAGCAAGGATTAATCTGCAGCTGCCAATATGTAATGCGAGTAATGGAGGGAAACAAATGAAGTGGATCCCGACTAGTTACCTGCCGAGGAATATTAGTATCATATGACAAGGTGAATTTTTCAGCTTTTAAACTGATATTATTTTGAATACAGTGATTGTAGAAAACTTTACAGATAGCCATCAGCAGCCGGACGCCACCATAATATCCTTCACTTTGCAAACGACTCACCTAAACAAAAAGGAAAAAAAAATAATAACAACATAAGCTATTTGCTTAAATAATGGTAGCGATAGTTAAATGCCTTTGAACTTGACATATTTCAATATAATGTTCAGGCCGGCAATCTAAAAATAGTGAAATGCCTCGATGTTTCAGCAAGATTTTTGTTTCCGCAGACTGATTCAAGTGTTTTGTCCTTGTATTTGGACTAGATGGTTCATTCCATTTGTATTGAAAACAGTTCAAGAAGAATTTACCTTGCGCCGAAATTTTAAGAAAGACCCTATTTACTGTATTGTAAGCTCTGATTCTTTTCTTCTTTGGCATACAAGGTGTGGGTGTCCGGAATTCATAATTCATATAGAAAATTTGATATATCGGTGTGCAACTTGTTCCTTCTTGGCTCATATGGATTCCACAGACTGAAAATGTGCACAAAAGTGAGATGCACAAAGACATTGTATGATTGGGTTTGCTCAAGAGAAATGATTCATTGCAATGATGCATGATGGTCATCAGTGGGAGGGAACAGAAGAACGTAGCATGTTTCAGGCAGGATGACATGGCCATCTTGTTTGATTTGGTGAAAAGAGGACTGAATAAGACAAGAGAAACATGAGAATATATTCGTTAATTATGTTTTCTGCAATGGAGTGGAATCGAATCAAATCAAAACAAATCCCACGGTGCAAGGGATTTATTAACTCCATCCGTTCGTTCAGTAATATAAAGTAATTCTGAAAGAAGAAATGATTTTTATCTTATCTTAGAAAAAGAGAGGAAGGCTTATTCTCGAGTTAGTGCATTAGACGACTGGGGAGAACATGTAGCAGGAGCAGCTTGCCAATAAAAACACTGGCCCCTCCTTCCTTTGTTAAGCGAGAGGAACTAAAGACAGACAGTTTACGTTCAAAAAAACTAAAGACAGACAGTAGCTGGGTTTCACCATCGAGATCGACCTAGCCTCGGAGGTAATGCAAACACTAAGCACCGCCACTGCGTTTTGTTACTACTATATACTCTTCTTGCTTCCTCAGTTATCTTGTTCTTTTCGATTTTATTTAAATAATACAAATGATGTCGATTGATTGAATGGATTGGAAGTCAGATAGCTAGGCTGATAGATGGATCGACACAAAGAAATTAAAGAGAGGAGGGACAGGGTGCTTACGAGTTGAGGGAGGGAGGGGAAGGCGACGAGATCGTGGTGCGGGTGCGGCTGGATGAGAAGCTCGGGTGAAGGGCGGAGGCGGACGGTGGCGGAGAAGTCGGCGATGGTGAAGGACAGCGCCCAGCCGCCGTACATGTCGCTGGGGTTGCCGAGGAGCCCCACCCGCGCGTACGCCCGCCGCTCCAATCCCATCTCCGCCACCGCTTCCGCCGTCACTGCCACGTCTTCCCTTCTCTTCTCTTCTCTTCTCTTCTCTTCCACAGAGCTTACTCTACTCATTTTGCTTGTACTAGTCATCAATCATACTTCGGGCTGGGCCAGGCTAGGTCCGTATCGGGCCCGACCGTCGCATGACCCTACCGACACAGCCCGATTGCTGCTGCCTCCGCCAGTCTGCCTCCCCTGCGTGGCTGCGTAGCGTCTCCGCGGCACGGCACAACAACATCCCATGGTGGCGTGGGTTCGGGGGAGGGAGACGGGGCCTGGCCGCATGGAGAAGAAGACGGGAGAGGACGCCGCCGCCCGCCGGTTAGCGGAGCCGCCGGAGCTTGGGCGATGTGGTCCACATCTGGTCTCTCTTTACTGTTGGGCTACGACGATACAACTCGTGATGGGCTGATTTTCTTTACGGCTATACGTGGTGGTGGGCTGATGTTAGGTTGGGAAGCTGGGTGACCATATGCTCGGAGGTTTTTTCTTTTTTTTGACAATCACTGGGTAAATGCCCGTGCGTTACAACGGAAACACATAATACCATGATAATATATGTATGAGCGTATGTTATACTGTTATCTAAAATACATACCGCAATCATAATGTTCCAATCAATATTACGTAAGTCTTCACGAAAGATATATAGTTAAAATATAACTCTAAATTTGAATGCAAAACTAAAACATCAACTTCAATTGTCGCATCACTTCATGCCTACGATGCGCGAAAGATAAGCTTGCACTTCTTTAGGAATCAAGTGCTACAGAAAGATAATCATAACAAGTTTATGTTTCACAATACATGTTTTAGAATCTATTCTACAATTAAGAATCTAATCTCTCAATAGTTCGACTAAGAGAACGTGCTTTGCACGAATACCAAGCTGCAGTTGGTCACCAATCAATAATGATCCAGAAGATTTTCTAGTCCAAGATGCGGCGTCTGACTTCTTGCAGCTGAAGCATGCAGATGGCTACAACTGTAGTTAGAAGTATCCTGCATATAAGTTATTTGTTAATTTTTAAAGTTAAAGTACCATTTGATATCCTAAATAAATATGTATCGACGTGTGATGCATTACCTCTTTTATGGAGTTAGAACCTCTTTATATACGATATCCTTTGTCGCTTTCTTCTTCCCCTTCCCTTTCCCTTTCCCTTTTCCCTTGTTCACGTCCTTCTC